TGTGTTAAAAAATCTACGTGCAATGCTATGGTATATTTTGAGCTTGGACGACTTCCTCTGGCAAACAATCAGATGATTCGAATGTTTAAATATTGGTTTAAGTTGTTAAATTGTGAAAATTGTATTCTAAAAGAAGCATATCAGTTTTTATTAAAAGAAACTTGGAGGGAAAACCCAAAACGAAATTGGTTATTATTCATAAAGCATAAATTATTAGAACTAGGGTTTGGATATATATGGTTAAGGCAGGCAGCTACCGACATCTGTCTACTACCTATTATTAAACAGCGCATAGATGATCAGGCAAAACAAACTTTATTCAACTCGTTGGCCATCTCAAGTAAATGTGATCTCTATAGATACATGGTAGATACCGTGATGTTGCAATATTATTTAACAAAGTTTATACCAAAACAACGTCGAATTATGATTACCAAACTACGTATGTCAGCTCACAATCTTTCAATAGAAACGGGAAGATACAGGAATGTTGCAAGAACTAATAGATATTGCAGTAACTGTGACCTAATAGAGATAGAAGATGAATTTCATTTTTTATTTACCTGCCCACGTCATCTAGATCTAAGGAGAAAATATATTAAAAAATACTACTGGCAAAAACCATCCGTATTCAAACTTATCGAGTTAGTAAATACACACAATGTAAAAGAACTGAATTTGTTAGGTAAATTTATTTTTGAAGCTAACAAACGAAGGATTGTTTAACTTATAAGTTTGTTTTACCTAATTTTGTATTACTCAATCGTATCATGTCAATGTTTTGTTCGTACAATCTTTCATGGTAAATGTTCAATGTTTTTGTTTGTTGTTGTTGTTGTTGTTGTTGATGATGATGATGATGATGATGATGATGATGATGATGATGATGATGATGATGATGATGATGATGATATAGATGTTTTCGATGATGTTGATATTTTGATGATGATGATGGTGGTAATGATTTAAATAATATCGTTGATTTGTGAAAAATGTACCAGTTTTATGAAATTCATGTTAAAATGGTAATTATTTCATGTTGTTGTACTTTGACGGATGATGATGTAGTATTTGATGTTGATTTAAAGAGATGATTATTTCATGATGATGAGTTATAAGACGACGACGACGGCCACGACGACGATGATGATGATGATAATGATAATGATGAAAGCGATGAATTATGATTTCGATGATGTTGTTGTTGCTGCTGATTTGTGATGAATGTGCCAGTAATATGTAATTATATGTTGTACTTATATGAAATTATTTGTTGAAAAATCCTATAAGTTGTAAAACTTACGGAAATAAATTGAATTATTGAATTAAGTCATATCAGCATTAACTTATTACCGTCACCTTATCGGAGAAATCTCTACTTACTAGTAAAGTCAATATTAATTTTAATTTTACTCACATGAATTGTTATGATGGTCTGAAAGAAATTGAACGTTTTGTTATATAATAATAAAAACCTATATAACATCGGCATTGGCGGCCCTATAGTTAATTAGAGTAGCATTAAAACTACTATGGTTTATAAAAAGGGTTATCAATTTATCTATATTTAATTATTAATACTGTTTTTGTTGTGTGCAGTAATCAAAACTGAAACTTCTGTGTTTCTATTATACGTATTTGATACTTTATCTGGCCCTTTCACCGATTCCTGGTTCATTCACTGGCTGACCTACGCATTATCTCCGGTAATGTTTTAACTTTTTCATACTTTATGTTTGGCTAGGAAACAGTGAATGGAACGTAGATAACTTACCACAAAGAGTACTAACATCTTTAAGAGTCCGTTCTTCATGGCTGACCTCCGTATATTTTAGAATGCAGAGTTACGGTGGACGCTCCGTGTTATTGTCGGCAGGTCCTATGACGGGTATCCGTCTTGAAGTCGCCCCTCCTTGGCAACATCTGGGCTGGAGAGTCATAGTTCGAACCCATATGATAGGGCAATATTAGAAAAGGTCAACACACAGATACAGGTAATAAAGGAAAATCGATAGAAAACGTGAATTTTTGTTTTTTTTGTTAAATACATGGTTGACCGATTGCATTAATTAACTGATTGATAACGTGGATTTTGTTATTTAATAACATTGAGTAATTCATGTTGAATTGGAGTTCATAACATTAATTATAAAAATTACTATATTTAAACTACTTTTATATTTCATCAGGCTCACAAAAGACGCAGAATCAATCAGGCTGAAAATGGGCGACATTTGGTGATGAGGAAGGGTTTACTTTGCGGAAGAATAACTTTCTATTTCCAATCTATTTGGTCCTTACAAATGTCCTTTGATAGGCTCCGTGTTCACAGGCTGCTGCCCGTCCCCCGCGTTTTGTCATCAACTTCTTTTGTTACTCTACAAATGTTGTATAGGAAAACATTTGTATATGGTTTGGTATCTGAATGTGTTTGAATCATCGTGATTTTTTTGTTCGGTAATTGTCAGCAACCAAATCTCTTTCATTTAGGTGTTTGTTGTTGCGTGTGTGTATGGTGAATGATTTGTTTCATTGCTAGTATTTCTTAAGTTTTAAATGTTTAAATTTGTCTATCACTGCTTATAAATTTGACGGGACCGTCTCCATTATAGTGTGTTTATATTTATTTATTTTTAAAAAGTCCATACCAAAAACAACAGCACAAGGTCATACTATTGGAATAACGAAGACAAGTGAACGAGCAGCATTGAACATCTTCCTTGGATTGCCCCATTCTTTTGTTATATTGATAGTAAGTTTGTTACAACATCGGATCACTAGCCTGAAATTATACAGTAAAATAACGTTACCCAAGTACGCTAAGCAGACTCGGTGAGTGTATGTCGTCTAAGGTTACCCAGTTTTAGCATCACTATCACATACGTAGCCGGGCCAGCGACGTGTCCGTTGGGTATTTTTAAAAATTGTGATTAAGGTACGTGTTGTAGAAACTCAACATTGGGCTTCAAAACGAGCAGGGAAATACGTATAGATGACAAAACTCAAAGAGAAAATGTAGAGGTGCATTCTTCTGTATATTCAAACGTACGTCGTTGACCAGCAAACAGATGTAAGGCAAAAAGAATGTGTGGTTTTATTCGAGATCGCAACAAAGAAACTTTCTTGTCGCTGAGTGATAGATTCTTGATATTCAAAAACTGATCTTTTTCGAACACAGCTGAAACATTGAAGATAACCATAACATGTCTTTATGCCAGTTTTTAAATTTGATTTAAAATTCACTTCAGCAGTTATATTCAATTCCTATTTCATTAATATATCTGGAGTCAGAACTCAGACAATGTGAGCTTGCGACAAAACGTCTGTCTGTCAACTACCGCTGATGTGAGCTTGCGACAAAACCTCCGTCTGTCAACTACCTCTGATGTGAGTTTGCGATAAACCGTCCGTCTGTAAACTACCTCTGACGTGAGCTTGCGACAAGACGTCTGTCTGTCAACTACCTCTGATCTGAGCTTGCGACAAAACGTCTGTCTGCCAACTACCTCTGATGTGAGCTTGTGACAAAACGTCCGTCTGTCAACTTCCTCTGACGTGAGCTTGCGACAAAACTTCTGTCTGTCAACTACCTCTGATGAGAGCTTGCGAAAAAACGTCCGTCTGTCAACTACCTCTGATCTGAGCTTGCGACAAAACGTCTGTCTGTAAACTTCCTCTCATGTGAGCTTGCGACAAAACGTCCGTCTGTAAACTACCTCTGACGTGAGCTTGCGACAAGACGTCTGTCTGTCAACTACCTCTGATGAGAGCTTGCGAAAAAACGTCCGTCTGTCAACTACCTCTGACGTGAGCTTGCGACAAAACTTCTGTCTGTCAACTACCTCTGATGTGAGCTTGCGAAAAAACGTCTGTCTGTCAACTACCTCGGATGTGAGCTTGCGACAAAACGTCTGTCAACTACCTCTGATGTGAGTTTGCGATAAACCGTCCGTCTGTAAACTACCTCTGACGTGAGCTTGCGACAAGACGTCTGTCTGTCAACTACCTCTGACGTGAGCTTGCGACAAGACGTCTGTCTGTCAACTACCTCTGATCTGAGCTTGCGACAAAACGTCTGTCTGTAAACTTCCTCTCATGTGAGCTTGCGACAAAACGTCCGTCTGTAAACTACCTCTGATGTGAGCTTGCGAAAAAACGTCTGTCTGTCAACTACCTCTGACGTGAGCTTGCGACAAAACTTCTGTCTGTCAACTACCTCTGATCTGAGCTTGCGACAAAACGTCTGTCAACTACCTCTGATGTGAGCTTGTGACAAAACGTCCGTCTGTCAACTCCCTCTGATGTGAGCTTGCGACAAACCGTCTGTCTGTCAACTGCCGCTGATGTGAGCTTGCGGCAAAACGTCTGTCTGTCAACTACATCTGATGTGAGCTTGCGACAAAACCTCCGTCTGTCAACTACCTCTGATCTGAGCTTGCGACAAAACGTCTGTCTGTCAACTCCCTCTGATGTGAGCTTGCGACAAACCGTCTGTCTGTCAACTACCTCTGATGTGAGTTTGCGATAAACCGTCCGTCTGTAAACTACCTCTGATGTGAGCTTGCGACAAAACGTCCGTCTGTCAACTACCTCTGATGTGAGCTTGCGACTTGAACTATAGAAGAATTGCTATTACCTCCCATTGGTTTATATATGCTTCCTATCTGAATAGTTGTTATCATAAGCAACTCTATCAGAAATGTCCGTCTATGTCCTCTTGGCAGAGACATTCCTCTCAAGAACTGTCTTTCTGATATTGACTAATTGTCATGGTGAGGCTTTGGTGATCGTGAATATATATGTCATCGTGCAGGTCACTTCAACTCCAAGATGGCTATCAGTATATCCGATTTACTGTTTAGTAAACTGGTTTAACTCTGGTTGTTCTGTGTCAACGTAAGTATATCATGGAAGGGGCTTATCCAAGCTTCATTTCACATCAGTTTTTTGTTCATGGGTAAAATGTAGTAACTGGACAGACAACAACATTAATGTAAACAAGGTGTTGACACAAGTTTATTTAATAAAAATTATACACAGAAACAGTTTGACAGTTAGGGAAAACGAGGATGCGGAACACTACATAAAATACAGCGCTTAAGCAACATTCCTTCTGTCAGATAACGGAAAATATAAATAGCATTTAGTAAAACGTCTTGCACACTATCACAGAATAAGGCACTGTTCACAACAGTTAGGTTACCGTAAACACAACATACATCACTGCTCACACCAACACAGACAGGGCCGATCAATAAAAAGGTCGATACCGGACCAAACATCAGGCTAAAAGATGTAACCAAACACAGGCCCGACGTATAGGCCATATTCTGATCAATCATTGAGTATACAGAATAGCCTAGTAGACGAGGCCATGTAAGTGTGGGTATGAGCGGTAAAACGAAACAGCTAATAAAGGGAAAACAATAACTATATAACTGGGGAGAATTAAAGATATCCTGCAAAGTGAGGATACCATCCGAAATACTAGGAAACTGAAAGCTGTGGAGAGTTGTACATCATAGCGAAACAGATGTAATATTTGTTATACGAAGCACATATAAGTAGTGCAGGAACATACTGAAGATATATAATGGTCTGTATGAGTAACAGATATCAATGTCTCATCCTGATGTTAAATTGTTGTTAACATATTATATGCGCTTAACCAGTATTGGTGGTATGTCCGTAATATCTCTTTCAAGATATTTCACGAAAATATCTTGAATATGACCAAGATCATTTAACTTCACCCTCATTCATATTCCTATATATACATAAGGAACTGTAACTGGTCTGATATTTCAATTCGCATTGTCGTTGGGAAGATGTAATATTAATAATAAAATTTCATGTTAATTGCAAATTAACAAAATCGGCAAAAAGTGAATTTCACGAAAAACACCACATTTTACAAAGAATAGTATTTCGAGCCTATTTGCGTTGTTCTGGTTTTGGATATCTCTTGCAGAAAATCACAAAATAATCAAATGTTTTATTTACTACGATGGAGGCACTTCATTAAAAAAGTATAAAATTGAGCAATTACACGTAACTCGGAGGAGTTATTGACCCGAAATCGTCAGAGTACAGTTACCATCAAAGCATCATAGCAATCGACAGATTGTGTAACACAACAACAATAACCTTATATGAATAAAATGTATATGGTGTAGCTGAATTAAAAGTCAGTGGATCATAATCTAGCCCCAATCTTACAGACCGCGTTCCGATAATGTAGCCAGGGTAGTCTGGTGAATTATCACTACTGTTCTTAAGAACCGACCTTGTTATATCTAAATTGTCACTTTTATAATTGCTACTGTGGATATTCGTATTATTACAAGTTTGTTCTGCGGGGTTTCCTTCCGTTACAAAGTGAGTACTGTTTACAGAAATCCACTGCAGCTTCGGAGTCGCATTAATCAATAGATTAAGATTAAGATAAATTATCTTAATACCAAAAACAGATAGGAGAGAAGATCAATAAGGAAACAAGGATTAATTTAAATTGATTAGTGAAAAATGAATTGAACTTTAAATTTTATCCACGAATGAAATATTTTTTTCTTTAGATATTATCTATGAAAACGGCTCTCATGTTAACAGGAGACATGTCATACCATTTATTAATCACCAATTCATACATGTATTTATGCATACATATGAGCTTGTTTTCTAACTGATTGATACAAAGTTGCAGTCACATACTTATATATTTATATTAACAACAGCATTACTTCATTAAGTAAACACCATAAATGATATATATTTATTCATGTTCGTATCCATAGCAACAGTTACTATGGTGATTACATTGGTGTAACACTACCAGGTTTTGCTGTCCATGAATTTCTGTACTTCTGCAAATATTTCATCAACCGTTCCTGTTGCTACAATCTGAAATGAGAAGACAAACATGATATTATCTTAAAAGTGCGATCACTAGTGTACGTCTTACGCTCATCTAGTATATAAGGTTATATATTAAATTGTCAAACTGGTCATGCTTATACATCTATGTGTAATTGGCCTAAAGGGATTATCTTGTGTGATGTTTAAACCTGGTAGATTAATGTTCAAACATCAGTATTCCTGACCTTGATGTAAATGATGAAAATTTGTAAGAAAAATGCATAAAGGTCGCTTGAATGTAATGGCAATTTTGATCGATCAAAACGCAAGAAAAGAAATTAAAAATTGCTGTTTGTAAAAGAGTGTCATTAAAGAAAACACGTCTTTAAAAGTACATCAAGATAATTTAGTCCTTTAGTTATAAAAGATATAAAAACGAATATTTATTCTAAAAGACATCTTCATAATACCCATAAAAGACTCATTTTCCCTTAAAATGGAACTAACATCTACTTAAAAGAGAAGACATTCGTATAAAACCTAGTTTAGTAGCCACTTGCCGCCGTTAGCCAGCAGTACAAAGATGCAAGACATTCCAAAATTGATCAAAACAACTTTGACAAAGTAAACAACGCAATATTTAGAACCGGAAAGAGTACATTATGTACACACCCTGGTCATTTATGTGCAGAAACAGCTGAATCAAGTGTTTGTGCGTAGTATTTTAATTTTATAAAAAAACGTATTTTCCAAGAATATCACCACGTTGAGAAACTATCAGGGTCAAGTATTTTAAATCTTCGTTCACACAGAACATGCTTACATTGTCGTGGGTTTTATTATGCTCATTAGTGTACCATATGGGTTTGTTGTCCCTACCCCGATTCTTACATTGAGGACGTCACATTGACTGTATTTGTCTTATTCTCCTAATAATATTTGCAAGGGCTCCATATACATATATGTTTTGTTTCTTCACTTTTTTTGCCCAGGTTTCATTGATTTTTTAGTGCGAAGTTCAGAACATATTTTACCAGGATGGAATAATAAATTACCAGGGTGGAATAATAAATTACTAGGGTTCAATAATAAATCTCTTTATTTTAACAGAGCGTGTTTACACTCAGACATTGCCAGAGTTGAGGTATACATACTTTTCTTTCCTCAAACATTTCTACATCGAGCATTGCAAGTGTTGAAATATACATGCTACTTTTATTTCCTCAGAGCATTGTCAAGGTCGAGAAACAACCCAGGGTCAATCCCTTTTGCAAACAGTTGTCCTCACGCGGGGCAAACACTCCTATAAACGCATTCTCTATAGTAATAATTTTGTATTGACTTGGCTGCTTTAACATAGCCTACCTTCACAGCTTTGTCCTTTGATGCGTAGTGGTCTACGACCGGTTTCGTCTGGTTGTGGAAGGTTTCTAACCGTTTCTTTATTGTTTCCTCGTTATCATCCACACGCCCACTTGTCTTTCCACGCTCCAGAAGTCTCTCAGTCATAACCTCATCTGGCACCTCAAAGTACACCACACTTGTGCATTCCACGATCTGCAAATAATAACAGTAGTTTTGATTCTACATAATTAATAGCATATGAAAATCAAAACTTAGCGACTTTCTTTGTGTCAGTGTTCTATCTGTAACAACCACAACATAATGACGAGGTAATTATTTGCTTCTGTAATATAGAGTTCTAATCAAAGAAATTACTTCGGGAGTGGCCACCATGCCGCTAGCAGCCATGTTACTCCAAACTATTCTGCTACGAGCCTTTAAAACCCAAGTAGAGGTAATCCCACATAAACCGTTGTACAGGTGGTAAATGATCCAATACACCACCTTCTTCATTAGAATTAATGTTTCAATAAATGAGTCTGTGGCATATTTCCTTTGTGCGGATTCTCTACACATAACCGCCCGTTTACAAATTAAACGGTCTACAAAATCAAACAAAAAGATAATGAATGACTTGCATGCACCTCACTGATATACCACAGTATTCGTTTGTTTGCTGTAATTTAAATATATAACATATTTAACATGAATTACCTCGTTTTCAAACCTGGTGCCCTGCTCTAGTTCCCTGGGGTATCCATCAATAAGGAAACATTTTGAAGTGCTTATTTTGGCTTCCATAGCATTTCTCAATAAGGCCAGTACTTCATCCTGCAACAAATAAAGAATCGCATCAACAAAATCTATAAATGAAGCCGATAAATTATGGACAAAGTTGATACATTATATGATTCCGTTGATACATTATATAACCGAGATGGACGGCACTTATATGATGTTTTAGACGCATCTGATACATTATGTCAACTGCTAAGCCTGACACATTACATACATCGCTACTGATAAACCTAATATATCCGGTAAACCAGTACGACCGCCGCTGACATAGTTGATATGTAATCTGGCCGGGGTGAATCGAATACATTGTGATAACCGCTATAGATGAGGCTGCAGAAATAGTCAATATCAGGCTGCAGAAACAGTCAATATCAGGCTGCAGAAACAGTCAATATCAGGCTGAATCTCTAACAGAGTGATCACCTAATGCTTTTGACGATCAAGTTTATTCAAACTGAGTGAAGCATAATTGGGACGCTGATATGTGTCACGGTGGATAACAAAAAGGGAAGTGCTGATAAAATAGGTCACTAGGAGAGTTATATGCCTTTTGAAAATAAACTTTACATTGAGTATCCAGTCTCGATGTTTAAAGCACGTTCATAGCTAAATTTTCTTTGGATGTGTTAAATAAACTTGACTTTTATGTGTGGCTCATACATAAAAGTCAAGTATATTTAACACATCTCAATCCAAGTTTCAAAAGTTCTGTGTTTGTTTTGTTTCATGGCCCTAGTATTTTCACATCCCAACCCACTAAGCAAACATTAGTGATCTGTGATCTTCCTCCATACAACCCAAGTTCTGCGATCCTGCACGTCCTTTTCTCGTTAGATGATATATATCAGACGAAAACCAACAGATCACATAACAGAGTCAATATTATTTTATTAACCTTGACCTATGGGCTCAGATTGATTCTGCTCATCCCTTCCCTCTCTCACATTGTTAGTTTAATATTACTTTACTATATATTACTTTTCTCTCATGCAGACTCGTCTATTTACTGTACCTCGCAGACATGTACACACACACCATTGTTGAGAACATGCTGAAAAGTGCCAGTAGAAATTGTGCTTGTGATGCGTTATAGGGCTGTTTAGATTCGTATCTATGGGCACACAGCTAGTCTGACAGACATGATAATACACATGTTACGAAAATGATGACAACAAATATTTGTGATAGACACCCTTGTTACCAAGACAACAGTATCAATGTTTACTCGCGGTATGCCTCAAAGTACATATAGGCTAATGCATATGCCGATGTACTTTTTTTTATCGACGACTGTTGTTACATAATAGTTACTCGTAATGTGTGCTTCTCTCTTCAGTAAGGGTATATACCTGGCTGTTTTTCAAGGAGACGCTGGAAGGTATTGGCGTCTTAACTTCACCCAACTTAATGTCACCATGCAATCTATGATGTATATTGACTGAGTTTACAAGTATAATGTATTGGGAACTGGCACAGAAATATCCATTGCCCCTATTATCACTTATATCAGATAGGATATGTTAGCACTGTTCACACTACATACATGTACAAATACATGTGTATAACTGATTCCGCAGATTGTCCAGATGTCTGGGGATCGTCTCTGAAAACGCTAGGAGTTGTCAGTCTGTCCCTGAACCAAAGACTGGAGGTTATCTCTGAACTAGTCAGGAGTTTGTCCCTGAACTTTAGTCTGTGACCGTTCCTGAACTAGTCTAAATATTGATCCTACTTCAGTTTAGGAATTGTCCGTGAATTTAAGTCTAACGATTTTCCATACATCCATGACTGTAGAATTATTCTGACCCGAAGTCGGACGAACATCCTCGACCTGAAGTAGGTAAAGACTGATCTCAAATCTATGGAATGTCCTTGAACCGAAGTTTGGGTATTGTTCTAGACCCGAAGTCTAGGTATTTCATTGATCTCAACTTGCAATGATGTGCATTTGAATGATCCTAAATAAAAACAAGAAATTCTCCTTCCCATTGTCTACAAACGTACAGTAACTTCGGTCATTGTGTACGGTTAGTCTGATCGCCACCCTCAACTTACCTAAGGTTAATACTACATAATGGCAATCTGACCACAACTGTGATGTACACTACACCTAGGTTGTGTGTACAGTACCTTGAATTAGACAGGTACAAAAGTATAACCAATACTTTGAAATGCATATGAACACGTAACCCAGGCAACTGTATAAAGCCAGTTTGGACAACCTCTTGAACAGGTACATATACATTATGAACTTTTAATTGTGAATCGCCAGTCTGATCATCACTCTGAACAACACAGGTACAACTATGTTACAGAGGAGTCAGACTGACTCTTTGTCCATCAGCAACGCCTGGCAAAATAGCAAAAACTATGAAACTTGTTTAATATTTTGGTCAATCCTTTTTCGCTTTAACAAGTTTCTCCACACTGGCAGTTATGAACAAATTCTATCAGAAAGGCGATCAGCAACAACCTTCTCTCACACACGCACGTATCAACGAGCTTTCCTCGTACATGCAGTTACAACAAACGTCTCTTACAAACGCAGTTGTAACAGCACGGTTCACACATACAATGCCACGTTGTTTAACATTGTGCTTTATCCTAGAAGTGTTATGACATAAAGGAGGTGCTGTTCTCCAATATGTTAATGTCATACTTTGACATTTCATATTGTCATTTTCCTACTTTCATTCATGATAAGAAGAAAAAAAATGTGTGTATGGAACACAGCTGTCTGTAGAACCCAGTTGATTTAAGAAGTGAAACTATTATTTATATAAACCAATCGGTGTACACCAATAACGATAGGACTAGAGCTGGTATTGTATACTCACCAGAGCCAGTGTACACCGATAACGATAGGACTAGAGCTGGTATTGTATACTCACCAGAGTCAGTGTACAACAATAACGATAGGACTGGTGCTGGTATTGATACTCACCAGAGTCAGTGTACACCAATAACGATAGGACTGGTACTGGTGTTGTATACTCACCAGAGCCAGTGTACACCATTAACGATAGGACTA